GACAAAGAATTCCTCCCCAGCATCAGATAATCTGCTGTTATGAGGCGAGGCATCTTCAGATGTTGCTCCACTGGCTTCTTTTGGATCAGAAGACTGCTTTTGCTTTTTAAGAGGCGATAGGGTAAGATTCAGTGTTTCCATGAAACTCAGTTTTCTGTCTGGACTATTATCCTCAGCTGTTTTGCAGGGACTGCTGCTGACAGCTACCACTGATGAAGACTCAGATTCAAGGTGTTTGTCCTGCTCATTCTTACTATCTTGACCTTTTCCGACAACATTGTGCTTTTTAGGAGATTTCTTTCTGTCATCTTTGGTAAGATACTTTTTTGATTCTCTGTGCTTATGTACCCTATGATCCAAATGTCCACCTCTTTTTCTTTCTCTGTCCTTGTCTATACCCTTGTCTCCAAAACAACTCTTATCAGAATTTCCATTTTTGACCGGGCATTTCAGATCCTCCATCTTTCTAGCTTTGTCATGGCTGTGAGACCTTTTGCTTTTTGATGATGGTTCATTGATTTTGCTTGATGATTTCTCCTTATAAGCATCCTTTCGTTGAGAAACCCATTTGGGAGAAGTAAAATCTTGCCCACAAGCATCAACTTGTTTCTTAGATCTTTTATTTTCAGATTTATTATCCGTTTCCCGTATATTCCTTCGCTCATACTCTTTGCTACTGTCTGATCTGTTGCTTCTTCTTTCTTTACTACTACTGCTGCTGTTACCTTCATCTCTTTTACTCCTGTCACTCTCCTTCGGCCTCTTTTGCTCATGGTCTCTGCTTCTTTCAGTTCTGCTGCTCCTCCTTTCTGCACTGGACCTTTTCTCCTCTTTCCTGTCATGGCTACTTGCAACTCTTTTCTTCCCTTTGTGGTTTTGGGAATGGCTTTCTTCATCCACCACAGTACAAGTTGTGCTGCTCAAGCCAGAGTGTTTTGTTTCTTTGCTAGTTCTGTCTGGATTTTGATGATGCATGTGCCCTTGACTCTGTGTCTCAACATCTGCTGCTGTCTTAAATGAATTTTTGGATAACTGGGAAGAGACAGATGGTGAGGCTTTGTGTGACTGCGAGGAAGGGCTTTTCGATTGTTCTGAACTTTTAAGAACGACTGGAACCTCAGGCTGCTGATTCCTGTTTTCAGTGGACACAAAATTGTCTTTTATGAGCTCTTTTTCAGTTCTTCCTAATTTGCTGTCCACTCTTCTCTGAGCCTTTTGTGACACATTCTTATCCTTCGAGTTACACTCTTTGTCCCGGCTTGTGCATTTTTGTGTTTTTTCTAGCTTGTCTGCCTGTTTTGATGAACTGTTCTTATTGTCTTTCAAGGTACTGAATTGAGAATCAGTAGTTGTATCAGGAACTGTCAGTGTAGAGTCACTTGTTTTGGGAGCATTTGAGACATCTGCCACTGTGGATGTTCTGTTAGGATGAACTGGTCCGGACTCCTGCTGTGGTTGAACAGTGAGGGTCTTACTGTCAGATTTATTCTGACACTGCAGAGGACTATCAAGATCAGTTCTAGGGCATCTCTGGAGCACCTCAAATGGTTGTGTTGCTGCAGTTGACGTTGTTGGTGGATATGCACAGGGATCCGACACAGAGTTTCTACCTTTGTGCTGATTTACTTCACTCATAACATTATCTTGTCTAGCACCTTGTGATTCCAAAACAGAACTTGTAGGATTGTTTAAACTGTGCCTTGTGTTTGCCGGACCACTTTCCATTTGAGATCGACGAAAATAACTTCCTCGACCAGACCTGTGATGACAACACACAAAAACAGGGAAGTGAGTTTTATATAAAACCATCCAATCCTGATACAAGCCAGGCTTAGTATCAAACATCTGTTTGCTGATCTTAGTACCAGAGCTGGAGTTTTTACCTATTGCTGAGTCTGCTAATTTCCTCATCCTTACGCACAATCTCCATTTTAGCCGTCTTGATGACCGAACAAATGTTCTTCTTCAGGAGTATGTTTTCACTGTTCAAACTCGTATTCTTTAAATATAAAAAGTGCACAAAAAAAAACAACTAATTATTCCAAGATTTTAATTAATTTGTGTGTGTGTGTGGGGGGGTATTTATTTAGCATCTATATATAACAGAACAACCATTAAAAGGAAACACACCTTTGTCTGCAGTAGCTGTAACTGTGAGATCAGTTCCTTAACTTGCTTTTGTGCTTCATCAAATTTTTGTTTTAACTGTAATAAAAGACAAGTACAATGAGACAACATAACTTCCGTCCATTTCTTTTAAATGCAAAACCAAACCAATAGCATGCCATGCAACCATATTCAAAGCTCAAGTCACATGCCTCATTATAAGTTGCCTCCTTTTCTTCTTGTTCTTCCCTGATAATGTCCTCATATATATCCATTGATTCCATTGTGCGTGGGGAAAGGAGAGGGTTGACTTTACCTAGTTTAAAAAAAGGATATTACAATAATTATTGAAATCTAAAAAGTTTTATCCTGCTATTTCTGTGATACACATATATCAACAAATGACTTTCAATAAAAACTATGAATGTGATGTACTCAATTCAAGACTCATTAATGAAACCCACCTCTGTGCCCATCAATCTTAGGGCTGTTTTCCAGGCCAGAGTAAATATCCACCGAGTCCTCATTGTGATGCAGAGTACCTGTAACAAACACTGATAATGTCATAATGCAACAGCAACTCCAGCATATACACTTGACCAATACATGTAAGTTATGTTTTCAGAGCTTTGAAAGCCCTGAACCTGTTAAGACGAGAAATTGGGAAATAGATCAAAAGAGGTAAATAAAACATTATCTGGATTAAATTACATATGGATCAAATATCAAACAGCACACTCCAGTGAGCTACATGTAACCAGGTATTAATGTGATCATTCCCGACCTCAATTTCAAGTGCAGTTGTTCTGATGCTCATGCATCTAATGTATTTATCTACACTTGGTTGATTTTGCACGACTTGCCTTTGATCTCATGAAACTGTTGAGGAATTATTGTTTAATTATTATTATTTAATAATGTGTTATTTTTAAAAACATTTCTTGTCGATTACATAGAAATTTTTAAAATCAACTTACAGTATAAAACAGTGATAAAGGCTTAAGTAAATACTAGATAATAGGTACAACACAGTAGCACTCTACCTGAAAACTGCATGTTAACTAGGTGAAAATAAAGAAATGCCTGTTGGACGGGAGAGAAAGACTGTCTTACCAAACGGCTTGTCATCAAGATCTCCATAATGTTCATCTGTTAAATCCATTTTAGTCAGCTACTGAAAGACAAAAAAAAAATAGCACATTAAGTTCCTTTAAACAGTGACAATACCAGCAACAGTGGGCATGTGTCAGTTCAACTGCAGCACTTCCTGTCATGTAGTGAAGAAACACTGTACTGAAATAAAGTCATTTAAATGTGATACTAAAAGAACAAACGAAACAACTTAATATTAAAGTAATAACCCACCCAACACTTCCACTATAATTCTTACACAAACTACACTTGTACGACCACGAATTTACACAAACTCCGAAAAAATTAAAGCGATCAAAATACAGTATTACTGTAGTACGTTTACAAAGTGAAATCAAATTAAAGTAACGTTATATGAACAATACCTGTAGCTCTGGTGGTGAGCTAACGACAACAGGCGGATATAAATCTGTAAGATGAGCCAAACACTATAAATAGGACTTCAGGATCTGACACCCATGCTAATGCGCGTGTATAATGACATTTGCAGTTAATTAGCAATTTCCAATTTTCTTGTAGACAGCGATTTAAACATTTCTTGTAGCATACTTCCACCAGCTCCGCGCCAACCTTTCACCATACACATTCGCCAAACAGGAAGTGACGTCATTTTCCCGCGGTCTCTCCTTTTCTAAAAAAAAAATGTCATTAACATTTAAGACTGAATATTAAAAACAATATATATATATATATACACAGTTGTGCTCAAATTATTCTTACCCTTGGCAAAGGTAAATATGATCAAAGAAGGCTGGGAAAATAAATCCAAGCTTCTGCCCTGGCCAACCCAGTTCCCTGAGCTGAACGCTATAGAAAATGAGTGTGGTGAACTGAAGAGGAGAAGCATCAACATGCAGCTGGAAATCTGAAGGGTCTGGAGAGATTATGAAGGAATGGTCTCTGATCTCCTGTCAGATGTTCTCTAAACTCTTCAGGCATTATAGGTGAAGACTCAGAGCTGTTCTGTTATATATATATAAAGATTTGTTTTCTTAGCTAAATTTCACGTTCCTAATTTAAATACAAATAGTCTATATTTGGTACTTGTATGGATATGTTTTATAATGCAATTTTCACTTGTTCAGTACTGGTATGCTGCTGTGTTTATTGTATTTTATAGGTATGTGTATCTCGTTTCTTAATATGAGAATAGGAGACACTTTTCAAAATCTGTATATTCAATTTCATTTTACTTTTCAGTCTAATTGACTAATTTTTTGAGTCTAGTAATGTATATTATTCATAAAAATGGTGTAGCAGAAATTAATTTGACTAAATAATGGAAAGCATGCCTCATCTGTTTTTCATGGTTTATTGCTTGCTGGCCAAGTACAGATTGCAACAATTTTAATGCTTAACGTTAAATCTAACTACTGTTGACAAAACGTCCTCCAGAGCTCATGTCATTGCCTATATTTCAAACATTACCTACACTTAACTCATTGACAAAAAACTTATTTTGGCCTCATAAATGTAAATATAAGGCTACACAGCTCTCTGTGAGTTGACCAGGTACGATGAAAGATACACGGTTTGAAGAGCAATGGGGATTAAATACGGCTGTGACACTGAATAGTGCAGTCCAAAATAACAAAACCATATTCGTTACATATTTAAGTGTTTCGTACTAAACCTTTAACAAAAACATCACAACAGTATGCTTGCAGCACAGGGAGCGTGAGCTCTGAGACACAGTCGAATGACCCGGAAGTGCTTTTCATTTACTCACGTGTGGACTGGGATTTTAATACTGACGGGAACGTGCTCGCTGTGTTGTGATACAACCTAGACAGCCAAGCGAGTGATGAGTCTTTTGGTTCCCATCACGTAGAATACTTGAAATATTAAAGCCTTTACCAACCGCAGAGGCATCGTCGGAAATCCCTATATTCACGACAAATGATAGAATGGAAAACCTGGAGTTGAGCCTGACATCTCTAGGGGCAATCTCAAGACATATCGATAAAAGTCACAACGAACTCAGCAAATATCTCGCAAAACAGGTAAGACGGCATGATCTGCGCACTTTATAAGACCGTTTTAAGAGGCTTTCATCTGTTTAGCACATGCAGAGTACAACGTGTGTGTCTGCCCCACGTTTCTGTAGTCCACATGCTGCTCATTGGTTGTTTATACAGAAGTAATGATTTCAATTCATTCGTTTCCATAATAACCGTAATTTAAGTGTTCTGCATATTTGTCTATTTGGGAATCCAGTCTTATTTTGAGCATGATGGATTATTTTGGTCATGTTGCAATATAGTTTCAGTAGTTTGGGTTGTTGAAACATGCTAAAACACTACCACAGTTTGTTATTTTGACACATACACAATGTACAATATAAAAGAAACACTGATTACTTCTGTAGTCATGATCAATATTCACTGGTGTGGATATAAACCAGCACATAAAAACATGTTGGAATATCTACCATACTTTGCAACCAATCCAAAAGTATCCATATGAGAATTTTCTAATAGGATTCCAACATAAAACACACCAATAAATAAGATTTTGTAGCACATGGTTCCAATAGGATTATAATGATTGCTAAAAGTATAAAATATTCCTGTAAGATTAAAAAAAAAAATAATAATAATTTGTGGTAATATTTCAGGATTTTAAAAGGCTTACAACTCGTCCTGTGATCATCATCATCATTATTAATAATATTATTAATAGACATTATTTCAGTAAGGAAAAATTGAGAGCTAATATCCAAATATGACTCTGAATTAACAATAATGAAACAAAAAATTTTATTATTTAATTTATTATTATTATATAATTGTTTATTATTATTATCATTATTGTTAATTATTATTATATTTTATTATGTATTTATTTTGACTGGCATTAATTTTTTCCTTGTAGATATGGAGTCAGCAGGACAGGCAGTGTATACTAGAATGTCTTGCGCAGCTCCTGCTGGAGAAGGAATACACCCTCCTCATTTCTCGTCACTTGCGGCCACTGATCCTGGACCTGTTGGAGAGGAATGCTGAGAGGGTCAAAGTAGACGTCAGTCTGAATCATGACCTCCATGAGCGCTTGTGTGTGGCTCTAAGCAAACTTCTTAACATCAGTCCAGATGCTCAAGCGTAAGTAACCATGCAGGATCGCATGTAAAATAGATTCAAAGGAGGGTTCTTGAAAGTATTGGAAAATCTGGAAATATCAGTTAATTGTAAAACATGGAAAATGGATATTATACAATTGGAAAAGTTATGGAAGCCTCTGTAGTGATTTTTAAAAAATTAATTTATATATTTCATTGGCTGGATATTGCACTTGTTTGAATTTATCTGTTTGTGAGCATGCATCTTTTTTTGAGTCAGTTTTTTTCAATACATCTGTCAAATCAGTTTAGTCATTATTGGCAAATCGGTCTGAATTTGAATGAACAAATGTCCAGTATATCATGAACAGATTTGAATTGTTTTCTCACAGGTTTGCAGCGAGGTATTTTAGCAGCTCTCCCCCAGTATTTCAGAGGCTCTTCTTCACCAGCGAAGAGGCTGCTTCCATCCAGTATGGGCCCAGACGGATGAAATTACGGGACCTGATGGGGGCCACCCTCCGCTTCCTCCAAAGCGATTGTGAGAAGTTCCGTGTCCTGTGGGACTGGAGTGCCTGTGTTTCACAGCTTCTCACCAGTGACGTCATGGTCAGAAGGTATTGCCAATTTGTAGATCAGACAAAGCCTCTCAGAACGTCCAGACATTTTTTCAGAATATCCTCAATCTCTATCTTTGCTCAATTTCTTTTTGTGTGTGTTTTTAAGCTACACTGCCCAGTGCCTTGCCCTGGTGTCCCACATGACAGATAACCAGAAAACAATATTTTTGAGGAAGGTGCTTTCGAGTGAAGAGATTCTCCATCTGAAAATGAAGTAAGTTTGAATATCTTTTATTTTAAGGTGAATTTTGTCACCTTGTTCTAATTGTTCAGAAGTTAGTCAATAGCTTTAGCTCTCAAACAAAATGACAATATCATATCTATGTAGGTCACTTGAGGAGACACAGCTGCTGGAGGTAGAAAAAGCTCTGGTTTTGGCCAATCAGGGCTCAGCAGTATGGCGGAAAGAGAGGGTAAAAAAAATCACCCGCGGTCAAGTGGTGACAGAAGACCTGACAAGGAGTGTTACTGTGGTGTGTGGGGTGATTCTACCTAGACGGACCCCTCGACAGGATGAACAGGTCAGACGGACATCCAAAAGCAGAATATTAAGCCAGATTTAATATAACTATAAACAAAGCCAGTTGTATTTTTTTTCAATACCTCTATTAGTGTATTATGGGAGAATGTGCATGTATTGTAATGTCACTAAATCTGTAATTCTCAGACAAGTTTAAGCAATTTAGTGCTGGTGGATTCAACCTGTCAAAATCTTCGGCGACTCGCCATGGCTGTGGCGTCCCAGAAGCCCATTCTTTTGGAAGGGCCAATTGGATGTGGAAAAACTGCTCTTGTTGAATATCTTGCTGCTGTCACTGGGCACATTAAAGCCCCTGACATCCTTAAAGTTCAGCTTGGAGATCAAACCGACAGTAAGGTGAGATTTGTTTGAATTTTGAAATTCTAGCTTTCTGCGTATTGTTTTACAATATTTTTAGTTTATCTGCTGTTAAGCACTCAAACATTTTTCATGCCTTTGTTTTCTGTAGATGTTGCTGGGTATGTACCGCTGCACAGATATTCCTGGAAAGTTTGTGTGGCAGCCAGGATCCCTGACACAGGCAGTCTCTAAAGGTTACTGGATTCTGCTGGAGGACATTGATCACGCTCCTTTGGATGTGGTGGGTGGTGAATGCACAAAAACATGGAAAACATACAGTATTTTTTAGAAATGTTTCTATTATGACTATTAAAGTCTATAAAGCATGGGTAAAGACTTTTATTTTGTTACTGAGTTGTTGCTGATTTGCATTAATTAGAGCTGTTTGCATTTACAGTACATTTGGTGCTGTCTAAGAAATATAGCATATGTTGTTTTGCTTCTACATGTGAGAAAAAACTAAATAATGCTTTTATGTAATATATATATATATATATATATATATATATGGTCAAATTCTGACTGTAAATAGAATGTATGTAAATATATATAAAAAAACTATTCTTTTGATAAATGGTTTAAATGGTTTGGACTGCTGTTAAATTGTATGGTTTAGAAGATGAAGCTATATTTAATCATGCTCTTGTTGTTTTTTTTCTATAGATATCAGTTCTGCTCCCTCTCATGGAGAACAAGAAATTGACTATTCCAGGACGTGAGGACTGTATTCAGATGGCCCCATCATTCCAGTTTTTTGCAACACGAAGGTAAGACCTTTTATACACATACACACACACACACTGCCAGCCAAAAGTTTGGAATAATTTATTCCTGTGATGCCAAAGCAGAATTTTCAGCAGCCATTACATCAGTTTAATAATGATTAAAATCATTATTTTTAGGACATTTTACAGTGGAGGAGCCTGGCATCGACCGCAGGGTTCACATGCTGCACTTCTGGACAAATACTGTGTGTGTGTGATTACAAAGCTGCAATTATTTAATCAAAAATACAGCGAAACACTAATTTTGTGAAATATTATTGCAATTTAAAATTACTGTTTTCTATTTGAATATATTTTTATATAAATATAATTTATTCCTGTGATGCCAAAAGCTGAATTTGGGGTCCCTGACACAGGCAGTCTCTAAAGGTTACTGGATTCTGCTGGAGGACATTGATCACGCTCCTTTGGATGTGGTGGGTGGTGAATGCACAAAAACATGGAAAACATACAGTATTTTTTAGAAATGTTTCTATTATGACTATTAAAGTCTATAAAGCATGGGTAAAGACTTTTATTTTGTTACTGAGTTGTTGCTGATTTGCATTAATTAGAGCTGTTTGCATTTACAGTACATTTGGTGCTGTCTAAGAAATATAGCATATGTTGTTTTGCTTCTACATGTGAGAAAAAACTAAATAATGCTTTTATGTAATATATATATATATATATATATATATATATGGTCAAATTCTGACTGTAAATAGAATGTATGTAAATATATATAAAAAAACTATTCTTTTGATAAATGGTTTAAATGGTTTGGACTGCTGTTAAATTGTATGGTTTAGAAGATGAAGCTATATTTAATCATGCTCTTGTTGTTTTTTTTCTATAGATATCAGTTCTGCTCCCTCTCATGGAGAACAAGAAATTGACTATTCCAGGACGTGAGGACTGTATTCAGATGGCCCCATCATTCCAGTTTTTTGCAACACGAAGGTAAGATCTTTATTCTCTATTCATTATATATATATATA